ATATTTTCAATCTCATAGAAAATTCCTTTTGCACAGAAAGACACAAGACAGAAATACAAATGTGGCCCAACATGGTCAGCACATCTCTTTTGAAGTAAAGACTCACTGGGCAGGAGGACAAGACTCTACCCTTTGAATATCTTCACCCCCCTTGATATGAATCACATTCCATCATCTCCAACTTCATGAGATCTGAGACTATTCTAAGTTGCCAGGTGATGTAGAACTTCCTTGCATTTATCCAAAATATTGTAAACTTAAATTTCCAAAAAGTTTGCCTTGTCCTGGCGTTTGATTTCCTGGTGAAGAGATCCTCACCATGCCTGATTTTATAGGTTTTCAAGCCTGCCCTTAGTTAGGTAATTATAATCTCTATTCTGGTTGACTGCCATAGACAACAGTTCAGTTTTGTTATTTTAAAGTTTAATTTTTCTTCTAGTTTTGAATATTCTTGATGGAAAGTTATTAGGAGGATAAAACTGTGGGGCACTTTAAGCTTCGAAGTTTCTGATGAAAGTTAACTTGTGTAGTGTGGAATTATAGGGGCTGTTCTTTTTCAAACAAGTCCAGTATGGATTCTTAGAAATCCACTTAAGTCCTTGCTTACAGATGCTTAAGAAAATTAGATCCTCTAAGTTGACTGGGTATTGAAACTATTTAGGATGTAATTATGTTCTTTCCTCTTAATGAATCTAAACTTATGTTGGAACAGCAATGATAGATGAGGCACTTAAAGCCGACTGCTAATACTACTTCTTATTTTAAAATAAATAAATGTTCATTTGCTGTGTGGATATTCTGTCTCATCAACACAGGATGCAACATGGATAGCAAAAGTCATTAGCATAATACAAATGCTTGCAAAAGGACTTTGGAATGCTTAAACTAAAAAAGTACACTACCAAGGACTTGGAAAGAATTTCAAGCTCCAAGGCCAAAGAATCTACTGCATATTAATCTTCTTTATCAAAAAGTTGATTTGGAGCACTGAAGACAAAAATAAGCCTATTGTGCAATACAAAATAATAGGTGGGGGGATTGCATGGCAAGGTAGAAAGATGCTACCTTGGGAAACAAGGGACCAGATGCTCCTAATGTTATCACCAATAAACTTATCCTGCAAATTTTTTGCCAGGCATTCAGCCCTATGAACATCCATGTCCCCATTGGTAAAAGGAGGGGTTGAAATACGTTCTTCTGGTGTATTTTCCTGATAAACAGAATCTCAGAGGGTTCTATGACCTAACCAAGGTAGCAGAGTCAAGAGAAAGAATTTGAAAAAAACCCCTTACAAACTTCTAACAGGATTTCTGCTTCCCAGGTGCACTTACTTCAGATTTCAAGCCTACACTTTAGAAGCTTAGAAGCACTTTAATCTTAATTCAGATTCACCCAGCAGTCACCTTCGAAGAGGACCGAGCAAATATTCTCTCATTTCTATGAAACCTGAAGTGCGATTGTTAGAAAGCCCAATGCACAACCAAAAAACTGGTGTTTGCTCTTCTTTGTTTTCACTGCCTCATCTGTAAATTAACATCTATAAAGTTAAAGTTTTGCTTTAACTGTCTTCCTCATGTTAATATTTAGATAGTAACAGGCTGCATTTAAGATGAGAAGTCCATTGGGGATAAAGGGGGATCTATGATTTCATATTATTTTCCCTGACACACATTTCAAAATTTTTTCTCTTGATTCCTACTGTCACTGTGAAAAGACAAATGCATTCCCTTCTGCACATGTTCTGCAGTGTCATCAGGCCTTCAGAACATGTGCTGAGAGACTGACTCAAGTGTTCCCCCTAGAAGATCTCAGGGCTGCTGCATTAGGGTTATGAAGAGATGATGGGCCTGGGGACCAGGGAGCTCAACATCACTGGGCTCATCCTTTAAAACACACTGTAACATTACACACAGCCCTGCCACTTCTAGGAATTAACATGACAGACTAAAACACGAACTCTTCAGGTATATTTACAAATTACTTCGACTCATTCAGCCCAACCAACACCTAAGTAACATATTGCAGTGAAGCCTGGTGTTACATGCAGTCAATTATGTTTTTAAGACACAAACCTATTTCTTACATGCGATACATACTATGTATAATAAGAACCAAACTTACAATTTCCAAAGTACATCTGTGCTTTTAGGGAAAAGGCTAAGAGCACACATGCCTAGGGTTTGATGATTCCAAAAATAATTTTCAGCTATATGATCACAGATTAAGAGAAAAAAATATGCTTACACTTTAAAAACCCATCATCATAATGAACCATTTTGATATGCTAATTTACAAGGATGTCCGCACTATATAGCTTTGAGGGGAAAAATCAGTTCAAAGATACACCACTACAAATGAACACAAAAATAACGTTAAACTTTAAAGTTCTCTAATATTTTTCTGCTACTTTCTCTTTTTTCTCCTCAACAAATCAATTTTTCAAATGCAGTAGAAGTTGTAGTCCTGATTTTTGTCTCCAAGGCAAGATACTATTAAGGGTCACTTCCCATGTACGGGAGAAAACAATCTTCATGGATAATAATGATAAAACCTCATGGAATGCAAAAACAATCAAAATATGTATTCTCGGATGACTGCATTAGGGCCAAGTCAATATTAGTCCCACTTCACCCACGCACCACATAGTCTAAAAATGCTGTCAACCTGATAAGAATTTCCTGATTTACTCTTTTTTCCAATAAAAAATATAGGTCATCAAAATAAACTCCTGACAGAAAAGAACAGTAGTTACACTATCAAGTCTCTTTTTATTTACTAGCCAGTTATAGTCAAACAGTTTCTTTGCTTGACAAAAAAAGAAATCTCAAATAAGCCATTTCAGTAAAAGCATGAAAATTTCCAAGCACACTTCTCAACTAAGTTCTTAATGTCGACTCAGCTTAACAGCTACTGAAACACCTGCAGAAACCCAGGGGGAGAAGGTGGCAGTCTGTCTCATAGGTGCCACTCATCAACGCAGACAATTCTGGTAAAAAAAGAAAGCTCATTCTTTAGTTTGGGGATGGTCCTAGCAAAAAGAATGGGATTTGGGTACTGAGTCTCAGGCCTATTGTAAAAGTTCTATAAATTATTAAATTCTTATTGAAAACTAAATTTTAGGATTTGCCATTTATCATTTTTCTGATACTGAATTTTATTTTCTCGTTCAAAAAGGTATAACAGTTATAAGGCCAATCCATTCATATTCTAAAGGAGTTATTTTCACAACTCTAGGAAATAAAACCTTATTCAAACTTCTACTAGTTCAAGTAACATTTGAAAGGGAAAAATACCTTTCGGAATATTCTAGTAAAGTTTGAGTCTGTTGCTCTTCCACATTCCAATTTGTAATTGAAGGCCTCTACCATTCCTGAGATGGAGGAAAGGAGAGCTGGGAAGGATGGTTCTTTTGAGACAGTGTTCATAAAACACATAAAATTGATATCCAGGGCCTCTGCCTCACTTGCCTTACTTGAACCTAATGATTTTCACCATTACTTCTCTCTTTTATATTTAAATCCAAAGGAAAGCCAACACCATAAACAAAATGTTTTAATTTGCCACCTTTGACCACAAATTTACAAACAGCTTTCAGATTCCCACCCCGAAAGTAATCTTTCTCCGAAATGCTGAAGCTGCTAAATATTTTTTTAAAAAATAATAGAAAATGAAGCCGCTTACTCTTTTGCCCACGTTTTATCTTAGTGAAGTTCATACTATTTAGCAGATAAATCCCAGGCATTCACTCTTTCAGATTCAGCTGAATTTCAAAATCTCTAGATTCTAAGCACAAGTTACAATTTCTTTCCAAAAGAGCTGCGCCATCATTTTAGCAAAGAAAAGAGAGGTAGAAGAGATGTAGAAATGAAAAGGCCAGGTTAACTAAAGAACCAAATGCTTAATCACAATGAAACACATGGTTCCTAAAGAACTAAGAAAAAATAAGTCAACAAAGTCTGTAGATAGTAATTTCCAGCTGCCTGATAGGTGTCTCCACCTCAGAGAAAATAACTTGTATTCTCTGCCCTACCAGACTGACCCACCCAAATTCCCAGAATCAGAGGACCCTATTTTGGTACACTCTAGTGCCAGATACATATGGCAAGCAACCTATGTCTTGACACACATTCGGGTGGTGTCGAGTGTAATATCAGATATAGCTAGTGCCAATTTCCCAGAGCCTTACTATCCCTTCTAAAGGCACTACATCCTCTCCCTGATTCCCAATTCTTTTTATCTATAACATTCTCAGTCTCTTGACATGGAGAGGACCCGCCATCCCACCCAGTGTTCCAAGACTATCCCTCCGCGGGGGACACACTTCCAATAGAGGAAACTCTAAACACCTCTGTGCTTTGATGGAATTAAAAGTGCATGAGGAACTTTGGGGACAATCCCGGTCTTCTAAGTCACAGTCCTGAGAAGACAGACTACACAGAAGTCCCAGCAGCGTTTGATAGACGTTTTACCCCAGACCCGCACTGCACCATAAAAGTCCCAGAAGATCATCCCAGGAGCTCGCGGTTCAGGTAGCCTCTCCTACGTGTCAGTGACACTTCTCGTCCTCTCAGTCAAGAAAACCCTAAGACAGTCTCCCTTTTCCAAAGGAATCAAAACACTTGGTTTAAAGGAAAGTTTACTCACATCCTGCTAAGACAGACGCCCTTGTACGCTTCGGAGAACTGAGCCCTAAGTACCGACCGGGGCGGCCGTGAGAAGCAGCCTCTGAGGTCCCGAGCCAACAGCTCAGTGAGGTACCCAGCCAGGTAGCGCTTCACACGGAACAACCCCCCCCCCCCGCCCACCCGGCCCCGTCCACCCGGCTGCTGTCCCTGCCCGAAGCGTCTCCTCTCTCCTGATGGTTTTCGATCCGGGGCGCTCCCGCGGGTGGCAGAGCATCCTCCGTGCCCCCGCCCGGCGGGACGTCGCGGGAGCCCCAGACCGATACTCCCGGCGCCCCTCGCCTCCGCCCCCGGCGGGCTGCCCGGTCGGTGACTCACCTGCTGGCCAGGTTGGGGCGCCGCGTGGTAGCAGGCTGTGGGGCAGGTTGCAGCTGCCACAGGGTTGGGCAGATACTGGGGCGCTCCATACGGCTGGGGGTGATACATCACCTCCGCACAACTCATGGCAGCCGGGGCAGCGGCGGCCCCCGAGCTGCCGCCGCCGCTCTGCGCGCTCTTGAGACGGGCGCTGCCGCCGCCGGCCCTGAGGCTGCTCCAGCTGCTACTGCGGCGAAGGCGGGTCCTCGGCGGCCTCGGGCTCCGCGCGCGGCGCGGGATCGGGAGGGGTTGGCAATCAGCGGGGCCCATACGCGGGCACCTTCATCTTCAGCCCCTCCGGGTGTCCCCTCGCCGGCGCTTATATAGCGGCTCCGGGACGCAGCCGCCAGCCGCGCGCCGGGGGCATGACAGTGCGGGGTTCCGAGGAGGGCAGCGGCGCCCACCGCCGCGCCAGCCGCACAGCAGCCCCGGCCCGGGTCCGGCAGCCCAGGGGAGCCGCGGCTCTGGTTTGCATACACACAATGCACGCCCAGGGCTCGTCCTATCACCGGCGCCCCGGGTGGGGCGAGGACCTGGAGGCGGGGGCAGAGGGAGGGGTCCCGCAGGGAGGAGGGGGCACACGTCGCCTCCCCGGACGCCGGTGCAGAGCTCTGCAGAGTTTCCGCTGCAAGTCGGTCCTTGAAGGGCGGGTCGCCCAGCAGGGGGACCCCGGGGAGGGCCGGCCGCGGATTGGAGCGAAGTTTGAAGCCCTCTCCGCCTCTTAGCAGTGGGTGGGTGGTGGGAGGGGAATGGCCTCCGCGAGGTTCTGCAAACTCGTCTCCGCCGGGTCCCAGCCCGCCCCGGTCACCTGGCCGCCTGAGCGAGCGCTTCCCAATTCCCGTGGCTTTTACGGGGCACACAAACGCAAAAGCCAGGGTCAAACGAAGGCCAAGTGTGCGAAGAGGGAAAATAGAGCAGGCGCAAAATAAACTTCGGATTTGTTCCTACTTTAAATATAATCGTGAGTGAAAGTTAACTTGAGTACAAGTGCGCACATGCCAAGAATGCAGCTCAGTTTTTTACAAGCAACCTCCGCTTTAAGTTTACACCTTCGTGGTATGACATTCCTGTGGGATGTCGACCCTTTCTGGCTTTTTGAGCCTGGTTTCATAGAGTAACATAACAATCGATTAAAGCTCTTCTGCTACTGCTTAAAGACTCATCTACTTGCAAGAGGTTGATAACCCTCTCCACTATGAAAAAGAAAATCAGTTTGTAGGAATATAGTTATATTGTGATATATTTTGATATAATCAGGCAATAGAAAAGAATTACACCTGTTTTACAAATGAGCACACTCTCTGACCTTTAAGAAATAGATCTCTTCTAATATATACCCTTATCCGCTTTTATGACAGGGAGAAATCGCTCCTATTTTCATAGAAACTGTCCTTTGAGGAAAAGTCTGGATATTAAATGCTGTTATGGACTGAAACTGTGTCCCCTCCCTCCATACTCCCCAAATCCATATGTTAAGTCTTACTCTCAAGTGACAATGTGTTTAGAGACAAGGCTTATAAGGAGGTAATTAAGGCTAAATGACATCCAAAGAGTGGGACTGTAATCTGGGGTTGGTGCCTTAATAAAAGAGGAAGTAACCTCTGAGATCTCTCTCGATGCTGGCATAGAGGAAAGGCCTTAGGAGGACCAAGTGAGAACTCCAGGGAGAGAGGCCTCACCAGAAAATAACTTGAGCACACCCTGATCTCAGACGTTAGCCTCCAGAACTGAGAAAATAAATTTCTGTGGTTTACGTTAACTAGTCTAATGCATTTTGTTATGTGGTCATCCTTATACATACTAATACAGATACGCAGTATCATTATATAGATCATCTTTATATAGGTGTGTATATATGTATGAACATATGCATAACTACCCAGACAAATACATAGATACATATATACTTATACACATACTCAGAGACACCCAGTTACACAAACTGAAACAATCACATAGGAAATCTTGGCTACTAATAACAGCTCTACTTACAACTTGTTCTTTCATTCATTGAGTATTAAAGTATATATTTATGAGGGCTTACAAGTTTGCACATTAAATGTACTTTTTGTAGTTGGGGAGTATTCCTGTTACTAAGATACAAAAGCATTTATTTAAAATGTTTACTGCTACCTTTTTCTGAACTGACATCTGCTGTTCAGACCCCTTACCTATCTGTGTTCTAGATTCAGCTATTCAGCTTCTATCTGGATAGCTCTACATAGATGCCCCAGAGGAACCTCAATTATAATAACATGAATATTTTACCCACAACTGATACTGTAATTTGAGATTTTCAGGCCTAGTCTCCCAGCCAGGAATGTATCTATCCCAGGCTGCAGGGGCAGTGCTGTGTCCCAGCCACTAGACTACCATGGGTTGATGTCTCACGAAGCCGCAGCAGGAACTTCGCTGACACTCAACAAGCAAGTGAAAAGAAGCAGATTTGTTTAGAGAAAGAAAAAGTTTATTGAGGAGAAAAGGAACAGAAATAAACTGGGACTCCCAGGCCAGTGGAACCAGGCCAGGGCAGGGCAAGGAAGCCAAAAGGGAGTCTTGCTTCAGGAAATATATACCTTATTTCCCTAATCATTCTAAAGTTCCACCAGGCTCTTTCATGTGTTCTAGATTCAGCTATTCACCTTCTATCTGGATAGCTCTACATAGGAACCTCACATAACAACATTAACCCACAACCACAGTTTGAGCTTCTCTCAATCTTCACCTCAGGTTCTGAGACTCTCACTCCCCCAGTTGCCCAGCTAGAAATCTGGGAACCATTCAACCTTCCTTCCTTCTCAGAGTTTCCATCTTGTCTTGGAATCCACTTATTCCTGTCACATTTCTACTATCTGTCCCCCCATAGTTCTTTATCTCTGCTGGTATCATCCTTAGCTCACTCAGCATGGCTCAGGGGGACTCCTGCAGGCAGCCCTATCTGATTCTGGGCCCTAAGATCTTGTCCAGTCTCCATGATTTATCCTCCTACTCTTTTCTGTCTCAGCCAAAACAAATCAAATAGAGTAATGGTATAAAGTTCCTCTTTTAAAAATTTCCTAGCTAGTCTGCAATGTCTGCAGTCTTAACTATTCAAACTTCAAATTCTGGCCCTGCCTATGTCACCATCTCCTGCAGCTGTCCAGCGAGCCCCTAGACTCAAAACTTCCCTTTCTAGGCGGGAGCTACAATATCACCAACCTCCGTTTCTCTTAGCACATGACCACAACATCTGCACCAACACCCACCACCTTCCTCACTTGCTAACTCCTTGTTCTTCAAGGAATCATCTTCCCAAATAGCCACTGAAGCCCAGTTTTGAAGCTTTTACTCTTAGTGACTCCACTGCTCTCATTATACTAATGGCCAACAACTTGATTTGAAATTGCTGGTTTGCTTGTTTTCCAAAATACTCATGGCTGGTTGAGTGACAGAACTGTGACTTTTATCTCTGACTCGCAATCATATAATGTTAGGTTTAATAAACATTGAATAAATAAAATATAAAATGGTGAGGAAAAATCCTTAGAGGAGCTTGCAAATTCACAGAGGATCCAAGCACACATGAAATCAGGGAGTGTCAGGCAAGGAACATGGGTTCAGACTCTGTTACAGGCTTTCTACAGCCTATAGATTGAGAAGGCCCTTGTGATATGAGACTATTAGTGTCTACAGTGAGAAGTGACTGAATGGGGCCCCAAAGCTAGTTTGTGAGTGCAGATATTTCTCAATATCTTACCAAGCACCTCCAATGGTGTATTCAAATGGCAATTTATCTGTAGTCTTTGTATCATTGTGTGTTTAATATCTGTGTCCTCCACTAGGCTACTACACAGTCCATTTGTATCTTGTGCAGCTAACATTGAAAGGCATTGAGGGAGACCGGTCGTGCAGGGGAGCGCGTCCCCGGCACCGGCATTTTGCAGCAGGGACCTTTCTTGCTGGAGACTGTGTGAACCCAGCAGAAGGCTCACCGAGGAGACAGAGGTAAGCTGGGAGGCTTGCCCATACCAGGCGCCTTCTAGCCTGCAGTTCCAGCCCAGAGGGGAGCAGCACCCACCACTGGGGCAGACCGGGCGTGCAGGGGAGCGCATTCCTGCATCGCCATTTTGCAGCAGGGACCTTTCTTTGCTGGAGACTTGTGAACCCAGCAGAAGTTCCCCAGAGGAGCCAGTGGTGAGCTGGGAAGGTCGCCCAAGATGCCGGCCAGTACCAGCAACACAGTGTCACAAGGAATATGGCAAATTAGAAAACAGGCAGTAGGGAGTAGAAAAACCACATGCAACCCAGCAACTCCTCAGCAAAAAAGCACACCGCAAAAAGAAAACCATCTACCAGATTGCAATGACAGTAACTTGGAAGAACTTCTGAGCCTTCCAGATAGAGAATTTAAAATTGCTGTGATTAAAAAACTGACAGAAGTCATAAAGGAAAACAATGATAAGGGGAAAATAATTAATGACCAGAAGAATGTAATTGAGTCCCTAAAGAGGGAAGTAAAAGAAATGCAGGAGATCAAAGAATTAATGGAGACACTAAAGAACTCTGGGAAAAGCAATGAAAGCAGAATAGATGAAATGGAAGAATGAATAAGTACTCTTGAAGACACAGAAATAAAAAGAACTAAAACAGAAAAGGAAGGAGAAGTACGAAGGAAAAAGACCGAAGAAAGACTTCGGGAGCTATCTGACTCCATGAGGAAAGGAAATATAAGAGTTATAGGAATCCCAGAAGGAGAGGAGAGAGATGTAGGAACAGAGAAAATATTCATGGATATAATTGAAGAGAACTTCCCAAACGCGAAGAAGGATCTGAAAATTGATATACAAGAAGCAAGAAGAACACCAAACTTCCATGACGAAAGGAAAAATACAGCAAGACAGATAATAGTAAAGCTCCCAAGAATCCAAGACAAGGAAAAAATAATGAAACTAACAAGAGGGAAGAAACAGATAACATTCAAAGGGAAACCAATCAGACTGATATCAGACTTCTCTGAAGAAACACTACGGGCAAGGAGAGAGTGGAGGGACATAGTCAACAGACTCCAAGAAAACAGATGCCAACCAAGAATACTCTATCCCGCAAAGCTCTCCTTCTTCTTTGAAGAAAGAATAAGGACCTTCCCAGACAAACAGAAACTCTGGAATTTTATTACGACTAAACCCCCACTCCAAAAAATACTACAAGGAGTCCTAAAGCCAGAACCTCAGAGGGACGAATAACAACAAAAGAAGGCCAAAGAAAGTTATTAAAAGAATAAATAAATAAAATCAATGGAAAGACAAACACAATGGCAAATACAGATGCTAACATATCAATACTAACTCTAAATGTAAATGGACTAAACTCTCCAATAAAAAGACACAGAGTTGAAGGCTGGATTAAGAAACAAAACCCAACCTTTTGCTGTCTCCAGGAAACACATTTAGCTGCAAAAGATAAAAATAGACTCAAAGTTAAAGGATGGAAAACAATTCTA